AAAGTGAGGCCAAGCAGAGCGAGGCACTGACCAGCCGGGTGGGGACCAGATCTCGGAGGGCCTTGAAGGCTATGAAAAGGAATTTAGATTTCATTCCAAGAGCAGTGGGAAACCCTAAAGGACTTTTAAGTAGAAGAGTGACATGATCAGACGGACGTCTTTGAAGACCAGTCTGGCTACCGGGTGGAAAGTAGACGAGGCGGGTGAGGGAGAGGGTTGCCGCAGGGGATGTGGGAGGCCCAGTAGGAAGCCGCCCCACCCGTCCAGGTGAGGGCTAATGTGGGTTGAATCAGCATGTTGGCTGTAGAGATGGAGAAGACCGGAAGGTTTTACGGTATGTTTGGAAACTAGAAATAGGACACGCTGATAGAGTGAATGGGACACTCGGGCAACTGTGTGGGGCCATTTACGAAGATGGGGAGACGAGGGGAGGAGCAGGGCTGGGGGAAGGGAGTCCTGCCTGGTTTGGACGGGAGGGAGCACCAAAGGAGGAATCTAGGTGATGCCCGGGTCCCTGACCCTGCCACTGGTGGTCATTTCTAGAATCAGCGAGCGTGGGCCATCGAGCAGGTTTGGAGAGGAAGCTGGACGCTTCATGTGTGGCACCTGGGAGCCCGGTTCCCGGGGGACCCCAAAGGAAACTGCCTAGTGGGAAGCTGCCATCTGGCTTATGCTCCAGCCCTGGCCTGCGAGCCCAGGGTCTGCATTTGATGGGGGTCTTTTGGCTGTTGGTCAGCTGGTTTTTTGGTTAGGCAGCATGCAGTTAGCCAGTTAGCCGCACTTAACCTTCAGCCTCTCTCTTCTAGATCCATACCTTCCAAGCAGGGCCCCTAATGAAATGGTCTCTCTCCGATAGATTTTTCATCATAAGACAATTTTAACATAAAAGCAATGTTAATAAAAACCAAATGTTAGCTCAGGCCTTCCAGTAAATCATAATAGATTAGATGCTGCACCGAAATGAATACCCCACTGTGGAAAGGGTTGACCGGTTGGAGGAAGGCACTCGTTGTGATTCAATTGGGCCACATAATGAATTCTGGTTCATATCTGTAATAGCAAATGCAGCCATCTCTCCTTTGTCAGGTCTGCAGAGGCCTGGCCCGAGGGAGGGGGGTGAGTTCTGCAGCTTTCGTGTTCTTCAAGGTTTCCCTACTCCACCCATCACCCTCTCGCGCCCTCCATTTATCATTGTTTACCCGAGAGGAATCTTGGGCTTTTTGGGTTTTGTTTTATCTTGCTGAGAAGTTACTGGAACACAGATGAGAGGTATGGGAAAGGTTGAGAGGTAACAGGATAAAGGGAGGCTTTCGCCATGCAGAGAGCTGGCAAAACATCATTCCGGATCTCCAGTGACACATAATCAGAACTGGAAGTACATTGGAAATCGGCCCAACATCTGGTTAGCTTTCGAAATAGTGGGTCTATAGTTTTCCAAAGCTGGCAATGCTTGCGTGACTACAGCCAAGGAGACCTCGGCCAAAAGAAAACAAGTTTTTTGCCCGTCACTTACCCGGTTCCGTTGTGGTCTCTTTATCCAGGGTTGTCTGTCTCCGTCTTTCTCTGTACCTTTGGTCTGGGTCTTTTCTACCCCTGTCCCAGATGGGGGCTATTGCTAAGGAGGAAGAACCCAGAAATCAGAACTTAGAGGGGAAGCTTCTGACATCATGGAGCCACACCCTTGCCTTCCATTTCGGACTTGCTGGGTCAGTTGGGGGTTCTGTCCCCACCCTCCCCCCAACCCCGTGGTCCCTGGGTGGAAATAATGCAGAGGGAGACCCTTTCTGACTCACTTGGACAGAGAGGGATCTGACCCCAGCGGGGAGGGAATCCAGAAGCGTGTGGTCTGCTGGAAGTCTGAACGTGCTCGCCCATCTTCTCAGGCCACGTGAAGCACATCTGGGTTTCTTTGGAATTTCTCTATTGCTCAGCACTTAAGGGTTGAAGCAAATAGGACAGTGTATTATCCACAGTGTTTACTTCAGTCGGAGTTTGGAAATGGCTTGCAGAGGAGCTCAGGCTTGCAACAAAATCTGCCTTTTAGTGCCTAAAACCTGTGTGTGTGTGGGGGGGGGGTGTGGGTGTGTGGAGGGGGTGCGTGTCCATGCACACATGTGCGCCGTTTTCCTGTTCACATGCATGTTCTGGTCATACCGTGACATTGGCCTTGTTAATAACAACCCTCAGCCACTAATTGGTTTGAACCCAGAAGAATGAAGCTTTTGAATTGCCACACGGGCCTTGAAAGCCAAGGTCTGGAATGGGATAATTCAGAGTAATGGGGCGGGGGACGGGGGTGGTGGTTAGAGGCCACGGTGGGAGAAAGAGAGAGATGGGGAGGAAGTGAGGCACCTGGCCCAGGAGGAACTTTGGGGAAGGAACAGAGACGTTCAAAGGGGTTTTTGCAAATTTTTCCATGTGTCGTATGGAGTCGATCCCGTTCTCTGTCTCCCTGTTGGCCGGCAGTAAAATCCACCTCACGTAGAGTGTGGGGAAGAGTGCCTTGAGGAGAGGGATCGCCTTGAGTGGCCGGGGGGCAGTGGAGACCACTCCAGAGTAGGCATGAAGGAGCACAACCGATTCACGTCGTCTCCCGCTAGCTGCCGTCCCGGGATCTTGGCGTCCAAGCCTTGCCCGTCCCTTTCCCCCAACGTCTACCTCGTCGCTTCCTTCCAGAGTCCCCACCTCCACCCTCCGCAAGCTCTTGCCCACGCCTTGCAGCTGCTGCCTGTGAAGCTCGAGGCAAATGCTCGCTCCTTCGGGATCCTCCCTGGGTGGCGCATCCCTGAGTCGGCCCCCAAACAGCATAGCATTTAGAAGTTAGCTGGACCCTGTCCACCTTTGGAATCTTCCTATTCTAACTGTGCTGCTTCCTTGCTCTGTGGCCTCGGAGACGTGACTTAACATCTCTGGGCCCTCATTTCCAACTAAAGGGGGAGGTTGTGCTGGACTCTGGTCCTGTGAAGTTGTAGAAGGAACTGTTTCAGTCCCTCGGGGTCCCCTCCCCCCTCCACCCCCCCACCCCTCCGCTTCACAGAGAGTGGAGTCGCCACTTGAGGAAAGTCATGATAACCGTGGAGTGTTTTTCTTCCTGTCGAGAGAGGATTTGGCCACAGATTTCCTCATTTTTTGACAAATTCTCAGGGAGTGGGGGCCCTAATAGGAAAGAGACAAAATGGAGCTCGTCATGGAAGTTCAAGAACCGGTTCAAGTCCCTGACTGTCCCAGTTCTGGTGACCACTGCTGCGTCCCCGAGGGAGCCAGCGGCTGGGCCCCCTCCTGCCATCCTCGCTGAAGGGGGCCGAGAGATGGTCCGGCCCAGGAGCACTTCTCCCCTGGAACCACTGGCTGCCAGGTCCCAGGGAGCCAGAAATGGGAGGATTAGAGCGATGTCAGGATGGTGTTGACATCTCTGGGGAGGAAAAACGGACACCAGAAAAATTTCCCTTGATGTTCTTTTTGCCATTTAATAAAGCAGCGTGCGTCGGAGTTAGACTTTTAGCATCAAAATGGGATCTAGAATCCGCAAATTGAATTTTCCTCGCCGTCAAGTGTTTTGACGGAGCCGCTGCTGGTGAGGCGGGAGAGGGAGAACGGCCCAGCTCCAGCCCTCAGGCCGTCCCTCACCCGTGTCATCTCCCCGGCATGGCTTAGCCTTTGGTTCGGAGCTGGAAGGAATTCAATAAAGCAAGATATATTGTTATGGTTTATTACGTCAATGCGTGTGTGGAGGAGTTACTTAGAATCCAGACAAGCAGCTCTTCAGTGCTGTCCTCCACTGTTTTGTCAAGGTTCTAAATGAAGCGTCATCTAGTACTCAAGGGGCCGTATTTCAAGAGTTCCGAGAAGTGTCACCTTCCCCCTTTGGTAGAATAACAGGAAAAGACGTGCTTCAAGCGCAAACAATCCATTCAGCTCTCCAGCCTTGGATCAGGCGAACCATTTGTCTCTGTAAGTGTATTTTTTCAGAGCCACCTTCGAAGGGGGGGTAAGGATTCGGGGCCCCTCTCCGCACCTGGCCTGCCGGAGTCGCCCTCACAGGTCTTCTCCTCGCCCGGCCCCCCCAGGTTCCACTTCAAGGAAACTGACACTCACTGCCCAGCTGGACTCTGTGCCCTCGCATTTCCTCTTCACAGCCCCCTCTCCCGTGTCTTGTCTGTTGTGTTCGAAACGCCGTCAGTGTTTACTGGCAGGAAAAGGATTCCTTTGCCACTTGAAGGTAGATCCGCGCCGTGGACCTCTTTGTATTTGCGCCTCTCTGTCGCGAGCGCTTAGCCCGGTCTCTCTTCGCCGGCCCCGCCCCTCGCCTGGTGCGGTGCCCCCCACCCCCCCGCCTGTGTGCTCGTTGAGTGGCCGGCCCCGCTCATCGAGTTCTCTGCCAGGAGCTAGAGGCGCACCTGCCGGGCGTGACTGCGGTTTCCTTTCCGTCCGGTCGCTTCGTCTCCGTGTGCGTTTCCCCCACCGCGGAATGTGTCTGATAATGGGCGGCCTCTGGTGGCACACAGGCCTAGCATGAGGTGGCCGAGTGGCACGTCGTGCAGAAGTCACTCCTTTCCCGTGTCCCCCGATTGTGTCCGGGAGCGTGTCACTTTTCAGGGCTGGCGTGCCTTCCGCACCTCCTAAGGATCCGCCGAGTCCCGTCTTTAACAGAGAGAGCAGGCCTGGGCCGCGATGAGTTGACGCAAGTCAACGATCCTTGACTAAAATGTAAAAGCGTTGTCTTTTTTTTTTTTTTTAACACCGCCTGTCAGCGTGGCGGCATGTTGATTTCCAGCTTACACGTGGGGATAGAAAATGTATGTTTTGATATGTACTGATTCAAGTTCCATTTCGGAGAACTGTGCAGTGAGCTCTAGTTCAGGCAGCACCGGTCATGGCAGAAGTCACGGAGATGGACCCTGGGTCGCCGAGGTTGGGCAGTGCCTCCTGGGGCGCCTTTCAGGATGAGTGTGGTTCTCATGAGGCGGCCCCCTGACAGCTCGCCCCTTTGTGCGTTCCAGGCATGGATCCTGAAAAACTAGAGCAAATCCAGCTCCCGGTGCCCAGTGCGGCCGACAAGACCACCTACAACCATCTCCTGGCCGAAAGACTCATCAGGATCATGAACAACGCTGCCCAGCCAGGTGCCTGGGGTGTGGCTGCTCACAGGGGCAGTAGAGTGAGAGGGACCGGGCCGCCGGACCACGCACCAGGAGCCCTGGGGCCTCGGCCTGGCCTTTCTGAGAGCGCAGGCAGATTTCAGCTCCTCCCTGGGCCACCCATACCGCTCTGTCCATCCGCATCTTCTCCTCGGGATCTCCTCCTCCTTCCTCCCCTGTCTTTCTTCTCCTTCCGCACCCAACCCTTCTTGTGTCAGTTTTGCCAGCGTGTGTCACCCTCCTCTCGGGGAGGCCAAGGCCACGTTTGAGCACGAACCAGCCTGAGAGTGTGTACGAGGGAAGTTTGGAAGGTTCGGATCAGGGGCCCTTGATGGTACAAGACCTGCCCAGCGTGTGGCACCCGTCAGCCCAGTTCTGAGGTTTTGGCCGAGGATCCTCAGCCAAGACAAGGGCTAGAAATAACAGGAGGGGTGACCAAGCACAGTGATTCCTAAGTGGGGACAACTTTGCCCACAGGGGACGTTTGACAGTGTCTGGGGACATTTTCGGTTGTCACAACGTGAAGAGGTGTTACTGTTGGCCTCCAGGGGTCAGGGATGCTGCACAGGACAAGAGCACAGGACAGCCTCCAATGACGTAGGATTATCTGACCCAAAACATCAGCAGTGCTGAGCTTGAGGCACCCTGATTGCCAGGCGGGTTCTCTGCAGAGGCAGGGGGATGGGCCATCAGGGTGTGTGAGAGGGCACAGAAACGGGCCCAATGGAGATGTGGCCTGGTTAAGAGGGAACCACTGAGCGGTACAGTAGGAGCAGTCAGGCGATGAGCCCACGTCAGGCTCAGGAGAAGGGCAAGGGTGGGAGTCGTGATAACAGGTGAGGACTCCAGAAGTTAAGGGGCGTGGGCTCCACAAAGCGGCCAGAGCCCCTTGGAGGCCAGAGGGGCCAGAGCCTCCATGACCTCGGGGAGGGTATACAGAGGCTTGGGGGGATGGCTCCACGGAGAAATGTTGATCGAGTGCCTCCTGCTTGCCAGCCACTGTGTGCAGATGATGAGGGTCCAGGAAGTACAGGACAGGTGTGGCTCGTGCCTTCCAGGAAGCCATGGCTGGGCATCCCGGACTGCTGCGACTCCACGAGGAGATAGAATCTCGAGCTTAGGGGCGCTAGGGGCTAGAACTAACACTGTGGCACTCACAGACATAGGGGTGGTGTTTAAAGCCACGGGAGAGAAGAGAGGCATATCGGGGACCAAGCCCTGGGCCACTACAGGTATCTCAAGGTGATGCAGAGGGACAGCCAGCACGGGAGCCTGAGCCGGGTCCCACACGGAAGAAGAGGGGCAGTGAGAGAGACAGGTGTGGCTCAGGACCAAGGGCACTTGGTGGGGTCAGTTTCTACCGAAAGGTCCAGTGTGGGGAACAGAGGTCGTCCCCGGGGACAGTGGCTCAGGGGGCAGTTGGCAGGGGCTCTGTCAGCAGGTTGGCTCGGTGGTTGAAGATGGCAGAGCGTGGCCTGGGTGTTGGAGAGGAGCCTCCGGGGTGGGGAGGGACGGCAGCCCCTTAGCGGGGCCAGTGGCAGGAAGTCCGCGCCTGCCAGGAGCTTGCAAAGGAAGAAGGGTCTCGGTGGAAGATCACATCCCAGTCGCCTGGAGGGGGCCGCAGGGGTGTCGTGGCTGAGCCAGGGGGGTTCCGCGGAGGGGCAGGCAGCAGCGAGACTGAGCCCCGGAGGGCTGGGGGGGGGGGGGGGGGGGGGGGTGGCGGGTCCCCACAGCCTGCAGGGCTGTGTTCGTGCCGGGCCCGTGGGGCCCTGAGAGAGAGCCTCGGAGCTGAGACCAAGCAGCCTCTCCCAGTAGATGCTTCCCTCTTCTCCGGTTCCCCTCCTGACACGTGAAGCAGGAAAAGGATGGGCAGGGAGGTGAGCACTCGTGCGTCTGCCTCGAGTTTTTCCCAGTAGCCTGTCCCGGTCCTCAGGGTTCCCAGGGCCTCAGGGCTGCAGCCTTGAGACTTCCTCCTCTCTTGGCCCTTCTTCCACATCGAGCCGTCTCCCCAGAAACGAGCTTAAAGACGCAGGGAGGAGTCTGCCTAAGAGCAGGGTGCCCTCCCATCAGGCAGTCACAGATGCTTCTAGGAGCTGTGCTCCACGGGGCTTTTGGCATTCAGAGCCCCTGGAGTCCACTGCCGCCCGGGGTGAACCTTTGGACAAGTCACTTCACTTGTCTAAACCCCGGTCTTTAGAGTGCCCATAGCGGTGGGTTTTTGTAGAGACTTCTGAGGGAGGGGTCCGTACAGTGCCCAGCGCGGTGCCCGGTTCACAGTTGCACGGCAGGTGGATCAGTCATGGACAGAAACCCATACTCAGACTGGCCGAAGCAATCCAGACAGAAACAAAACTACTGGCTTGTGTGACTTGAGGTCTTCAGTGCCGGCTTCAGGCGCAGCCGGGTACCGAAGCTCAAGTTGTTAAGACTGTTTCCGGACTCTACCGCTGTGTGTGTGCCCTTCTCTCCTTGGGCTCTGGGCCTGCCAGACATACTCTGGGCGGTCTGGGGGAAAGGGTGCACTGTGGGGGAGGGGGTGGGCAGTTTGTAGAACCCCGAACAGAAGATTCGAAACTCTGACGAGGGTGCGGGGTGGCCAGTGTGGATCCCGGTCTGGTGCCGCTCAGGCCCCACCACTGTGCCCGTGCTGCTCTCGGCCCGGCGCGAGGAGAGGTTCTCTTGCCCGGTGGTTCCAGCACGGTGTGGAATTGAGCCTTATTGGCTGACTGGCTTCCTCGCCCGTCCCTCCCTCAGTCACCGTGACCAGAGGGATAGGGCATCTGACCAGCCTGGCCGATGTGCCTGTCCCTGGGACAGAGGGGAGGGACCAGCTGCACCCAAATTGCATGCCCAGGAGTGGAGTTGGTGATTCTCCAAACGAAAGTGGGGGTGCTTGTTCCTGAAAAGAGGAAGGAACCCAGCCAAGCAGAGCAACCACAGACGGCCACTTTTTCAGCCTCCAGTAATAAATAGTAACAATCTTTTTCCTGCCTCCTCTCCCCTGATAAAGGGGGTGCAGGGGAGTACCTGGCATGGGCGGTGTGGGTACATTCTATTGTCATTGACTGGGGAGGGGTTGGCCCGTGGGTTTCCCTCCGTGTCCCCACTGGGTGTCCAGGGCCTGTCACCTGTTAACCTCAAAGCGATAAAGGCGAGAAGCTGTCTTTGAGGGCTTCCCGCCAGGGTGTGCGAGGCTGACCCAGGTTTCCTGTGCAGATGGGAAGATCCGGTTGGCGACGCTGGAGCTGAGCTGCCTGCTCCTAAAGCAGCAAGTCGTGGCCAGCGCGGGCTGCATCATGAAGGACGTGCACCTGGCCTGCCTGGAGGTGAGGGCCCCGCCCCCGCGGCCCCGTGTTCCACCAGAGGGGAGGAGGCGGTGGGCAGGAAGCTGCTGGATCCAGATCGGAGCCCCAGCGTCTGCAGCACCAGCGAGAAGCAGGGCGTAATGGCCCCGATGCCTCTCCAGAAGAACTGCCCTTCCTCTGAGACTGGCCCGGTGAACCCGCCTAGTTACTGAATTTGTGTGGTTTCTGTTACAGTTACCAGCCTTATATTTGTCACCCGAATTGTATTATTCTCCTTTCTTCATTACAGAGATTTTATACATATTCAAACACACGCACGCTGCTTATTTACTTACGGTTTATTGTGCCAATACCCGCATCCGTTGTTTTTAAATAGTTTTTATTGCCTTTCCCCTTATTTTTCATGTTTATTTGAGAAAATTTGGAAAGTACACGGGGGAAAAAGTAGCAACCCGAGTCGACGCTTTTTGGGTGTCTCTCCAGATACACACACATGTGTAAAAATGGAGTCACCATGGCCATATTTTATAACCTGCTGCCCCCACCTAACTCGGTGTTACCCCCTTCCCCTGTCACCACCTTGAATCACCTCTCTTTTGCCCCGTTTTTATTTTGAGCTCACCCTCCCTCCCTCTCACATTACGAACCACTAGATAGATTTAAGGATATTAGCCCGGCCTCTCCCCTGTTTTACATGCTCTCAAATTTTGGAATTAGTAACTCACCCGACTCCCTGCCCTCCCTCCCCACCTCCCTCTGTTTTCACAGGGCGCCAGAGAAGAAAGCGTTCACTTGGTACGGCATTTTTATAAGGTACGTTACCAGAGCACAGGGGACGGCAGTGTGGTGTGGGTCACGTAACTGGGACTGTGGTGTGTGGGCATACGCACGTGAAGGTCACAAGTCCGTGGCTGTTCCGTATGCCTGTGCTTCCCTAGTGAACCGCGTGCAGCGCTGTCCCAGTCCCCAGTCCCTGGTCTCCCCAGGCTTCTCTTACCAGGGCACCTGTTGAGGATTCGGTGCTACTGCGGAAGGTTTATCAGTCACATGTGAATTTGTGTATTGCTGAATTTACATATAAGTTGTGAATTACTTACACCTGCACATGACTAAGTCACATATGTAAATTAATAGGTGCATGAATTATGTTTTTCATGTAAAGTAACTTTGAATTGTTTGTGAATTTATGAATTATATTCACGTACATTATTTTTTTTTTTAATATTTTATTTTTGAGAGAGAGAGAGAGCAAGCATGAGCGGGGGAGGGGCAGAGAGAGAGGGACACACAGAATCCCAACAGGCTCCAGGCTCCAAGCTGTCAGCACAGAGCCCGACACGGGGCTTGTACTCACGAACCACAAGATCATGACCTGAGCCGAAGTCGGACGCTTAACCCACTGAGCCACCCAGGCGCCCCTGCATGTACGTTATTTATAGACCTGTGTGCCAGGAAACCTCGTACAGGCTTCTAGACGTTTATCATTAAGGGTAGTGAGATTTTGTAAAGGACCACCATGACTTTGAGTAACAGAGAAATTTGTAGATTCCTCTTCGGATTCCAGATGTTTAGTTTTCAAATACCTCCTTGTGATGGTTTTGTGTCATTCTTATCTAGGGCATGATGTATTCCTTAGGGAAGCACGTAATTTGTCAGCAGTAGGTGGATTACTCCATATTCACATGGAACTAGTCCCTTCCTGGTTTTCGACCTCTGCGTCAGGTCTTTCCAGGTCCAGTTAGCCACAGTTTCCCCTTGTCGTTTGGCTGATGAGGAGAAACGTGTTAGCGCTGCCATTTTCTTGTTTTTTTTGTATTCTCTTTAAACTGCCACGAATTATAGGCACATAGGCACCAGAGCTCTTTTCTTTGCAGGAAGCTTTTTAAGCCACTGCCCATTATTGTCCATGTTCACTGAGAGAAAAGCAGGCCTTGTAATCTAGGATCCACCTCGTCAGGCTCAGACGACCCCGTGCAGCTGCAGCATGGTGGGCACACCCAGCCGAGGGTGGAACCCTGCGGGCCCCCACGCACGGGGGAGGAAATCCCAGGCTCCCCTTAGACCATCGCAAGAGGCTTGCCTCAGCGAGGATACACGTCCTCAGCAAAGCCCAGGAGAAAGCGGAGGCCTCACGGCTGCATTAGTCATCTTTGGGTCTCTTTCCAGGATAACTGCTCTTAGTTTGTCCCCTGCCCCCCACCCCCCACAGAAAGTCTTGCATTGCAAAAACCGAAAGACAGAGATACATAGGTAGACATTTGCCCAGAGGGTTTTCTTCACCCTTAGCGAAAGGAGAGCTACATTTGACTTGCAGCTCCCTTCTCCCCACCCAGGTCGTTCTTTTATCCTGTAAGTTTTACTTATAAGGTCTTACATATAATACAATCCTATAAGGTCCTAAGTATAATAACTCAGAAGGTGTTGGATATTTCCAGGGTCGTGATTTCTGTGGTTCTTACGTAGAACTTATACTGGAAAAATGTATAAAGGATCTCCTCCATTCCCACCCTGCCCATGTATTTGTGTTTGTACATGTGTGATTCCGGACTTAGGAGAGAGACAGGACAGTTCCAATAGTCCAGATGCATTCAGCTGAATCTCCCCTCCCTTCCCCAGCTGTGCTCCGTCCAGTGGTGCCCATAATGACCATGCTCGCATTTAGCAGCCCTGGCCGGGCGGCGGGCTCTGTGCTCAGATTGACCCGTGTCACCCTCATGGTGACCCGCGTAGATGTGGGCTGTCACCCAGCAAGAGGGTCTGAGAGGTGAAGCTGGGATTTGGCCCCTGGTGTACATGTTTCAGACCCAAGTTCTTAGCCATCACAGCCCCGCGGAGCTACAGAGCCTCACAGGCGTGCCTCAAAAATGAACGGACCAGGCTGTATAATTTTAGCGTTAAGTATACTTAATTATAGGCTTCCTTTCCGAGGTGTGGCGCCTCCTGTTTTGAACACGGCAGCTGAGCCGGGCCTCCCCATCTCTCCCACCGTTCTTGACAAATACATGATGTTGAACACTCGCCATTTTAACCACATTTATATTTTAATTATATGTGGTGGTGTTTTGTTGCTGTTTTAATTAGCTGCCTTGACAGAAGGGATCTAACTATACATGCTTAAAAAAAAAAGGGGGGGGGGGAGAGAGTCGTTGAGAGGCGCAACATGATATCCGGGCTTTCGTTTGAGAGAGCGTGTGTGTTCGTGCTCACGTGTGTATTTTACTTCCTGGTGATTTTCTAGAACTCGCTAATGAGAACCAGATGGCCCCCCAAGCCGTGAAGTGGAGTTTATAATACTTTGGTGTTTATGGAAAAAATAGGCATAATCTCCCTCCCTTCCTTCCTTTTTAGGGAGAAGAAATTTTTTTGGACATGTTTGAAGACGAGTACAGGAGCATGACAGTAAGTGAGGGGCCAGAAAGCGCTGGCGTGGCCTGTGCGGCTCGTCCTGCGGAACCGAGAGAATTCTCACTTGGGCCTTTCTGATCGAAGGACACAGATTGGCGGGGAACTGAGTTGGAAACGGTGCCTCTGGCTCGCTGCCACTTTTGAAATCTCAGATGACACTCACTCCCCCTGTTAGGGTCGTGCCGTAGATGGGTCGGAAAGATTCACGTGGGTGCAAAATGGTCCCTCACTGAGGTCTCACGCCACGTCAGGAACGTAAAGCATGTTGTCCGTGGTTCTGCCCTTGCTGCCCGAGTCACCCTGATGGGAGTGAGGCCCCAGCCTGCCCAGCCAGGGAGGTGAGAGCCAGGATTCCAAGGCAGAGCAGTTCCCCTGCAGTGTCCTGCCCTTCTCTGCTGGGCCCCTGGAATGTTCCGGCGTGTTGCTTGTCCTCGAATCCACGGCACCGGCTTAGAGTCCTCCCTGTCTGCCTCCGTCCGGCAGGCACGGTCATGGGAAGAGATCGGGTCACGCAGCTCTCTCTGTCGTGTTTATTTCTCTGCATCCCTAACACCTGCCCCTTCGTTGGCAGTCAGTAATTAGGTGACAAACGTCCTCTTCGTGGACACTGCTCATCAAAGAGTGAAGCGATTCGGGAAGTTGTAATGAACCTCAGTGTCACAAACACAGAAGCAGCTTGCTCAAAGTGGCTCCTGGCTCCCAAGCCCATCTCACCGGGGCGGGGGGGTGGGTGGACTCCTGGGCCCTCACCACACCCCTGCCCTCGGCACTTCCGGGCCCTCTGTGGAAAGGGAACGTTGTAAATTGGCATCCTTCGTCTCCAGATGTGCCCGAGTAGTGCCCGGGCCTCCTCCGGTGATGTGTAGGCCACCCAGGTGCATCTCACACCTGGTGGTGGCCACTGCCCCCCACCATTCCCCTGACCCCCCGGAAGAGTGTCTCTGTGTCCTACTCTTTGTTTGGACCAGTAATGGAAGTGGAGTGGATTCAGGGGTTAGCTACCACTTTATCTCACCCCCGGGATGTCTCCTTCTGCGTTGCGGTTCTCCACAGGTCGGTTTCCTGTTTGAAACGGGAGGCTCGTACGTCACCTGACGACGTGGAGAAGCTCGGGGTCCTAAACCCCTGCTCAGTTCCTGCTCTTGTTACCTCCTGACGATGCGACCTTCAACGGGTTGCTTCCGTCCTAAGCCTTCATTTTTCCCGTCTGTAAAATGGGACCCACACCACGCACCCGGCCTGGATGTGTAATACCGAAGGGGTGCCTCCCATAGACGGTGTGCACGAGTGCTTGGCTCCCCTCCCTCCCACCATAGGGGCCTCCCCCGGCCTCGTTTGTCTGTCTTGTCGCATGTTCATTGTGTGTCCTGCACGGTGTCTGGCACCCCAGAGAACCTGAAAGGGGGCACACCCCGTACCTGAAAGTATAGTCCTTAGGTCAGACTTCAGGAACCAGTCGCTGAGCTAAAGGAAGCAGAGATAGACCCTTGGGTGCTGCTGATGTGCTCACGGAGACCCTTGTGCTAAATCCAGGCCTTCATTTTTGACCCTCATTCATTTCTGAATCACCTCCTATCTAATGCAGAAGGTGTGATGATGGCAGCCGTCTGCTGTTCCTGCGGAAGGTGGTGGAGACAGGTGGGGCAGCGCGGAGTGGGCTGCAGGGGGGCGGAGGGCAGGCCGGAAGGCACAGCGGGAAGGCGATGCCAAGGGCGGCCCCGGGGCAGGACATGGGGCTCTGCCACCCTGCCCTGGGATGAGGGACCCCAGGCCTTTGGAGGAAATTGCTTACAGCGGCCCAGAGGAAGAGGCAGGCAGGGTGTGCTGTCTCCTTGGCTGCTTAGCACAGACAGCCGGGCCCTCACCACACATGCCGTGTATAGTTAGCTGTGTGTTCCAGGAGGGAAAAAAAGTGATAGCATTGAAGCCCACCTTCTTTAAAATAGATAGATAGATAGATAGATAGATAGATAGATAGATAAATAGATAGATAGATAGATAGATAGATAGATAAAGGGGCGCCTGGGTGGCTCAGTCGGTTAAGCGTCCAACTCTTGATTTTGGCTCAGATGATGATGTCACAGTTCCTGGGATCAAGCCCCATGTCAGGCTCTGTGCTGACAGCACAGAACCTTCTTGTGATTCTGTCTCTCCCCTTTCTTTTTGCCTCTCCCCCCTTGCTTTCTATCTCTAAATAAATAAACATTAAAAAAAAAATCACTCACATATTAAAAAAAAAAAAAAAGACACCTAAAACAGCATGTGATGCTTGAAGCAGTAAAATTAAATCTCTAGGACATTTACCTATACAGGAAATCTCATTCCTTTAGGGTGTCTGGTAAATGAAGTGTCTGTGTCCAACGATACATGCACATTCAGTGTCAGTACTGATGCAGCAAAGTTCCAGGAGGGGAGATGTTGTTACCATTCATCGTAGTCATCAGAGAAGACTTCCTGGAAGTGGTGTGGAGCTAGGCAGACAGTTCCGCTCCTGTCTGGCCCAGTGGCTGTGGGCATACACGCTTTCTCAGGGCTCGGTGTTCCCCTCTGTAACAAGGGACAGCATCAGCACTCCCGTCCAGTGGTAGGTGAGCCCCACAGGTGCCCGGAACTTAGTAGGTGCTCACTGAGTAGCTTTGTTTTTCTGATCCCAGGTAAGATGCTGAGCGGCTGAGGAAGGAAGTAGGTTGGTGGTCATGTGGCAGGAGTCGTAGGGCGTCTGGAGCAAGGCGGGCCTGGGTCTGCATCTTAGTTCTGCCACCAGCCCGCTGAGTCTCCGTCTTGTCGGCGGACTTGTCCGGAGTCTTCGGGGGGACTAAATAGGATCTGTAGCTCACCGCCTGCCTGCAGTCAGCGGTCTGCTCTCCACAAACGGGGGGCTGCTCTCGCTAGGTCTGTCGTCGTCACTCTGGGGAGTACAAAGAGAGGGAGGAGGCTGCGGTCAGGGACCCGCTCCCCGCTGGGTGGAGGGGCCCGAGAGGGGGAGAAAGCACAGCTTGCCACAGCACGGAGGCAACTCGTCAAGGGTGTCCGAGCTGTCAGTTCAAGGGAAGGAAAGCTCTGCGTCTCGGGAAACAAAGGCTCGCAGCCCGCGCGTCTGGCTGCCTCGAGGACTCGTGCCAGCCTTAACGTGGGCGCACTGTACCCGTTGGCTGTCGGCGGGTGAGACGAGGGGCCCGTGTAACCTGCCCCGGCCCCTCCCTCCCTGCGGTGAGGTTTCCTGTGATGTCTCTCTTCCAGATGAAGCCCATGAACGTGGAGTACCTCATGATGGACGCCTCTATCCTGCTGCCCCCGACGGGCACGCCGCTGACCGGCATCGACTTCGTGAAGCGGCTGCCGTGCGGCGACGTGGAGAAGACGCGGCGGGTGAGTGAGCGCAGGTGGGACCCACCTCTCCTGGGCTGCCGTCTGCCGGGGCCGCCGCCGGGGCCGGGAGGGAGGGTCTTCCAGCGGGTCGGGAGCCCGCCGTCCACCCCGTGTCCGGACAGCGGGCGGACGGGCGCCCCCCTCGCGCCCTGCCGCCAGGACAGACTTCTCAAGGGGACCTGCCCCTTGCTAACGCAGGGTTGAAATTCCACGGCACGGTGCCGGGCAGGCTGCCTTCGCCGGTGCAGGGCACGATCCCCAGCCCCAGGCTCTGAGAGAAAGCCTCCGGGCCGCTGTGGGCACCGGGGGCAGGGGGGTGAGCAGAGGGCAGACAGCGCAGGTGAGGCCCATGTGAAACTCTGGCCCAGAGAGGCTCAGCACCCCCGCCCGAGATGGTGTGGTGTTAAGGTATCTGAGGGATCTCCAGGCAGGCACCCGCTAAGGAGACTGCGATTCTCGCCCTGCCTGCTTGCTTCCGCGTGTGACGGGCACATTAGTTCTCAGAACCCCGCAGCAGCGCGCACCCCTTATCAGTGCTTTTTTTCTGAAGCAGTGTCGCAGGGCTCTTCACGGTATGCTATCTCTCTCGTAAGATCAGCTTCTTTCTTAGAAAGCAGCGTCACCTTGGGGCGCCTGGGCGGCTCAGTCCGTTGAACATCTGACTTCAGCTCAGGTCATGATCTCACAGCCCATGAGTTTGAGCCCCCCATCGGGCTCTGTGCTGATGGCTCAGAGCCTGGAGCCCCTTGGGATTCTGTGTCTCCCTCTATCTCTGCCCCTCCCCTGCTTGCGCTCTGTCTCTCTCTGTCTCAAAAATAAATAAAAACATTAAAAAAAAAAAAAAACTACTTAAGAAAGCACTGTCACCTCTTCCTAGAAAAGCATTCCCTGGAGACATGAATCGATAAATGAGATGAATCCCTTGCCCTCTTCTTCTGAGTTAATCCCAGGCTAACCAGAGCCACAGAGGTGTTCGTTCTTGGATTTTGAGAACCAGGAGTCACCTGCTGGATCGGCCTCAAACAGGAAGATTCCGTGGGCTTCCTCTGCCCAGGCGGTGATTTCGCCTTGGACACATGGGGTGGCGGGGGACGCAGATGAAGTCGGACCTATGTGTTTTAAGTCCATCCGCGTTCCCTGCCGTCTGACCAAACCCGCAGACCTCACCGCAGGACCCACCCTGTCTGAGCCAGAGCGAGGTCCAGAAGGCTGTGAATGTTGAGAGCTCCTGCTCCGTGTTGGTACTGCCTTCTTTCTGGTTCGTGGTCCCCCAGTTTTCTTAATGCTTGTAGGAGCTCATGTCTGACAGAAAGTGAGTCTTCGTATCAGTTCTTAGTATGAACCTCCTCATGTAATTTTACAATCGTCCTAGGAGGCTGTGCTAAATTTAATCCATCTCACAGAGGAAAAAACTGAGGCATGAAGAGGTCCAGTGATTTGCTCAAGGTCCCCCAGCTGCTAAGTAGCAGGAGCCAGGACTCGGCTCGGGCAGCGTGGCCTCCAGAGCTACCCTCTTAGCTACTCTGACCTGCCACTCCCTACTGCCACCTTCGTTGTATTTATATCAGTCCTACGTGGTGCTGGGCGCCAGGGACGGGTAATACACCGCCTCAGTCATCTAGGAGTCAGAGTCTAGAGGCCAGGGTAGGAAAGGCAGCATCATCAGTTTAAGGAATATGGGGTCAGGCTCTTAATCCCACCTGGGGAGCGAGGTGGCACGGGCACCAGAGGGATAGGCCGGGCAGCCAGGGGGTGCAGAGCGCCAGGGAGATGTGGCTCATTCCAGCACCTCTAGGGAAGGGACATGGCTCGAGCGCAGAGCGAGGGAGGCCCACTGGGAAGTGATGAGGCTGGAGGGAGCTGATCTCAGGGGCCTTAGAGCCCAGCCAGGACCTTGGCCTTGGTAGCTGATTGCTGACATCAGGCCCTGCCAGCCCAGAGCAGACGGTCATGGTCCACAGGAGAGAATGGGAGAAATTCAGGGGTGGGGCAGATGGCAGAGGGAGGGTTGCTTGGGCTTTGGGGTTCCTTTACCCATCTGAGAGGAGCACGTCCCTGCCCTTGCCAGAAGTATTGTGGGCAGTCAGTGAAAGGCAGAACACGAAAGGCCAGTAGTGGTCCTTTTTTTTTTTTTAATAGACATTTTTCTTTTCCTTTTTTTTTTTTTTTTTAAGTTTATTTATTTTGAGAGAGCGAGAGAGTGCATGAGCAGGGAAGGGACAGAGAGAGGGAGAAAGAGAGAATCCCAAGCGGGCTCTGCACTGTCAGTGCAGAGACCAAAGCGGGGCTCGAACTCATGAACTGTGAGATCATGACATGAGTCGAAATCAAGAGTTGGATGCTTAACCGACTGAGCCACCCAGGCGTCCCAGGCCGGTAGTAGTTGCTGGTGGTACGGGCCTCCTTCTTCTCTTTGCCCCTCACACCTCACTTGGTTGTAAGTAGCCTGCCTCCCTTGCCGCAGACGGGATGCGTAGCCCAACTAACTGAGTGCAGACAGAGCGCTGGGAATGTCTGCGCTTCCCCGGGGTCTCTTGTTCAGTCTTTGTCTGTGTGACAAGTTTATAAAAGCAACTCTGAAGCCTCAGGGCCCCTGGGTTTAGAGCCCATGAGAAGGTGGCCGAATGGTAGAAAAGAGGGCCGGCCATCTCAAAGCAAAGCCATCTACCTTAGAGAAGCTTTCCTTTGTGACTTCAGATTTCTGAAGGGGAGTTTTGGCCACCCACCTCAGTTCGGTTCCTGTTTCAAGGAGCTGTCTAGAATCCTCCAGAAGCTCCAGAATCCTTAGCCCATTTCAGACATCAGAACGCAGCAGTGTGCTTTGAATTTGAGCTAAAGGAAGTGTATGGTTTAGCAAGCAATTGAGGGCTTATGTGGTTTCTTTCAAGTTCTTTGCTTGTATCCAAAGAACATTCCATTTCATCCTTTTGGATTCAAAGGTTTTCTTCTTCTTCTTCTTTTTTTTCCACCAAGGAAACTTTTTTAACTTTTAGGAGGCTGACCCTTTTCAGAAATCCCTTCTGTTTCCTTAAGGACTTGTTGAAGGAAGTTCAAACAACCCTTAATAATACATCATTCCCAACTTGTAAAACAGTCCTCCCTACATTCATCAGAGAGCCCCTGGACACTCACCGTATGCCAGATGCTGTGCCCGAGGGCACAGAAGTAAACTGGGCTGAGGGGACATTTGAGTACAGAGTTCAAGATGTGAATAAGCACGGCATGTTCAGGAAGCGGGGTGACCGGCAGGCTGAGTGAAGGGAACGGGATAAGACAGGAGGGTGACCGGGCCTCGCAGGCCATGGGGAGGCACCCAGCACTGAAAGTCACGTTGTGCCTCCTGCGCATTCTTCCATTCGACAGACGTGTTGAGCATTTTCTAGGTGCTGTGCAAAATGCCAGAATAGACAGTGAATGGAGATTATAAAACGAGACCAAAATAGCAAGAGAGCCACTGAGCCATGCCAGCCGGTAAGGGAGGTTCACGTAGAAACGAAGGTCCTGGGAACTACTGGGGTCTGATGAGAACGTGTAAGCGGAAATGGGGACTTGGGCTGGGCCCCTCCCAGAGGCAGTGAGAGAAGCAGTTTAGAAAGAACACAGGCTGGTGAGACCAACCAAGGTTCAGTGCCGGCTCCAGCTATGTGACATTGGGCAAGTTGTTCAACCTCATTGAGCCTCAGGTTGCTCGTGTGTTCTGTGTCTCAGCTCCTGCCCAAGGTAGTTGGAAAGACAGGCTGCAAGGTGCCTGGCAGACAGGAGGTGCTCAGGAAGTACTTACTGTGCGGTGAAGCAGTCTAGCATCTCAGGAGGGAAGGAAAGAGAGTTTTTCGTGGTCTCTTGAAGCTTAAGGCTAGAGAAGAGTTAGAGAAATTTTGGTGAACATCAAAATCTGAATTGAATCCAGTAGCTTCCTTTCCGTGGTAACCTGGGAAGCCATTAGGAAACACATGTATTTGTGTGAAATTTTATTTGTCCCTGAATTCTGTTCCGTATCCCCACGTAAAGCCACACACAGGTTTTGTGTTTATCGCTGTTGACCGTGAGGAAATAGGATATTCTGCTTTCCTCTCTGGATGTGTATCACGCATGAAAGAACATCTTGTGAGGTTCTAAAAGTGGAGGGGAAAGAATTTCCCGTGATTTCATCACCCAAGACACTTTTCGCGTCTCCTCCCTGCCCTTGTTTGCAAGCGTGTCTTCTCATGGAGGCAGGAAGGGTGCCTCGTGGCCTCGCTTCCAGGCCCCTCCCTGCCCTTTCTCCGTCCTGCAGCAGAATCCGGAAGCTCTCCTTGTTGTGACGCGGTCGTTGCAAGTCGAATCTCTTACCGGGGCCTGAAAGTTTATCTGGTGACTTCTGCCATGACTTAGGCATCTTTCCGCTGGTTCGATATCCTGGTTGCTTCCGGGATCACATTATTTTCAGCGAAACTGTCATGAGCAGCTTCACGAATACAGTGTTTTCTTTCTCCTGGCTTATTTCTTTAGGATAAGTTCCCAGAAGTGGAGTTTCCGCTTCAAAGGGTATGAACGTTTTTTGCGTGACACTGTACATCCCGGTAAGGCGCTTTCCCAACGGACTGTGCCCACTTTACACTGCTTCGGCGTCCCATTAAGAATGACTGACTCTTCGCGGCCACTTCCACAGCCTGGTGGGCTTCTAACCTGGGCGACTGCCCCCTAAACTCCGCGGCTTGCAGGTGTGGCAGGGGCAGTGGCGAGAGGGCTGGACCTGAGCGCTGTATGCGGGGCGGCCCCAGGGCTCGGGGGCTGCGCCTCTGCGGTGGCCCCTGAGATTGGGGCCGGTGGGTACCCCCCATTCCCAGAACTCGCATCTGGGCTCGGGGGATTCGTGTGACTCACCTAGGTCCGTCTGAGCCCGAAGCCGTCCTGCCCCACTTGGCGAACTCGTTCGCCACAACCCCCTCGCAGAACTCGCTCTTGGGGGCACTGGAGCACGCAGGACGCGTCTCTTCTTGGTACTTGAGCGTGCTCAGCTGTCACTCCTGTCCAAAACGAATGTGTTCTTCCAGTGTCCGTCTGCCTTTCTGGCATTCTGTGGAAGCTTCAGAAAGAGTAATGAGTCCTTTTTCCTTTTCAGTAAAACTTGACAAATTGCATGTTTTTTTGGCAAAGTCCCGAGAAGCGCTCAATAAAAGCCTGGGTCCCAAGCCTTAAATCTTTTGAAGGCAAAGGCATATGGTTGGAAGAATACAGACTTTGGAGTCTGGTTATTAGCCGAGTCACTGGGGGCAGGCTGCCTCACGTCCCCGGGCTTTGCTTTCCTGTCTGTAAAATGGGAACCACGCAGAGTTGTTAAAAGGCTTCAGTGAGATGTCGCGGTCTTGCCTCGCTAGTACCTGGCAGGACTCTGGTGAGTAGAGGGGGTGTTATTGTTTAGGGGGCTGTGGGATGAATTTGAGGGCCTTGATCCTGGTGTTTTACCTCTCTTTTGTGGATTCTTGGACTTGTGTGGCTAGTCACCGTGCCTGGTGGACCCTGTAGGACCCCCAAGGGACCCCCATCTTTAGTCCAAATGGAGCACCTGGCCCTGTGGGGTCCGTCCTCCCTCGTGGGCATGGGCTTTTCACACCCTCTTCCTTCTCTTAACTGGGGCAAGAACCAGGAAAAGTATTTTCGGGGCGTTTATTTTATGTTCTGTATTCTTCATATTTTTATTATTCTATTATTATTATCATTATTATTATTATTATCATTTGGTATTTCTGGAAATACCTGCCATTTGTTGCTTGCAGAGCAAAAGCAGATGTGTTACCAGAAAGGTCTCTGCTAGGAGCCAAGTTCTGAACTTTTATATTGGAAGGTTTTGGTTCTCAGAGTGATGGTCTGTAGAAAGCCACACACATTTCTGTTCTCACCCCCCAGCGAGGAGGGTCCTGCTTGATTTCTTTGCCCTCAGAACCCCGGGAGGAATGGGTTTTTGAGACAGAAATGAAGCATTCATTCAGCTTCGACCTGACCGATGGGCCTTTTTTGGTCACATCCGAGGCCCGTGACTCATTATTTGAGAGTTCAGATGGCCGTATGGTTCAAATGACCACCCACATCTTGGGCTTTCTGCGCTCAGGCTGGCACAGGCGTGTGAATTTCTTCGTGTGCTTGGTTAAGTGCCACAAGCATCAGACATTCCCGGTTCCAACCCCAGCTCAGGCATCATCAGCCCTGTGAACTTGGTTCAGTCTGCCTCTCCCCGTTCCGTCTCTTCCAGTGTCACGGCTTTGACACTGCAGTGAGGTGCCCACGGTGCCTGGCACGCGGTGGCTGCCTCATAGTTGCCGTTTCGATTTTAAGAAAACGAAGCCACGCTTCTTTCTCTTCAGATTGTTGCAGATGTCTTACGAAGACTGTACTTTAAAAAGCTGATAAGAACAATCAGACCAATACTGATGCAGCTGCCACTCTCACTGCGATATAAAAGCTTATCTTTCTCTAGTACTTTGGCGTGACCTCAGAATGCATCCAGGATGTAGGATTGTTCTTCCGGTTTTTTACGTTAGGAGATCAAGAAAGTGGCTCAGGTCTCTTGCCAGTTGTAGGCCACGGCCAGATGAGGCTTTCCACGTGCGGGTGGGTATCCTTGTGGCCTGGGTCATCGGGAGCCAGTGCAAGCCCCGTTCTTTGGAGGCAGAGGCAGGAATTTGCCTCCCCCCAGCCCCGCCCCCGCCTTGTTTCGGGAGGCACCTTGTCTTATGAAGGGCCGCCTCCCCGGTCAGTGGGCCAAGCCTGTAGCCTCAGAACTGTAAACAAGAAGACCAAAAGTGGGCTGGCGCTCATCGCCTTGTGGCTCGCCAGTGGCGACAGTGGTTTGTCCCCGTGCCCTCCCCCGTGCCCAGCTAGCGAGTGGCCGCAGTGAAGGATGGCTGCCCCTTTACTAGCACATGCTAGCCACGCCCCGGCCCCGGCCCCCCCCCCCCCCCCCCCCCCCCGCCTTATCTCAGAGCCTCCTAGCATCCCTGTGAGGCGGGGGCCACCACCCCCATTTCACAGATGTGGACATTGGAGCTCACGGGGGTCGGGGGCCTTGTCCAGCAAGTCCAGCGCAGACCTCGTGTGTCTGACTGCAGAGCGGTTTCCCTCAGGCCTCAGGCCCGTCAGCTACGCTTCAGGGGAAGAGGTGGGAAGACGGCCTGTGCGAGGGGCTGCCCCTCGGCTTCCTGGTCTCACCATTGGGCCACTCAGCTCCAGTCAGGGACCCGAGGGTAGCTTGCGTGCTACCAGCACAAGCCGGGCCCGCGGTGAAGGCTGCTTTCTGCACAAACATCTCTGGTTCCGGGGCCTGGGATTCTGCTTTCTTCCCGGTCTCTGGGAAGCGTTGGATGGCCATGCTGGATCCCTCCCGGACGCCTCTTTCGCGGGCCAGGGATCCCCATGCTCGCGGAGCTGCCTCTGTTCCCAGAGAGCTGGCTGGGTCAGTGTGAGGGGCCCTTGGGGCACCGATGTCCCCGCACACCCGTCCCGTCCACAGTGTAGCCCCTGTGCAAGGCCAAGGGGCTGAAGCTTTGCTGTGCATGGGCTCGCCCAGGAGGGGCAGGGGTGGGCTTTTAATCGAGTCGGGCCGCCCTGAACCCTGCAGGGTTCACCCTCTGTGCTCTCTGCCCCCACGTTCAGTAGGTGGGACGCGGAACGCTGTCACTTGGGATTTGCGTTTCCAGATTCTGTGCTGGTTTAGTGGGAAGAGGCCAGGTTCCAGCCCTCCCTACATGCGTGCCCTGGGGCAGGGAACTTCACCTCCTTGGGTCTCAGTGCCTTGTCTGCAAAGCGGGCCACCTGCTGAGGACGCGGGGGTGTGGGGTGGCCCCCGGCCTGGTCAGAAGGTCACGTGACACTAGGGGAGAGGTGCTGGCAAATGACAGGTGCTCGGTTGAAGTGAAGTGCCCTCACTTGTGGATAAGTGGGAACAGGCTGCACCTGTTGATTTTCTTTCTTTTTTTTGTTCTTTTTCTTCTTCTTCTTTTTTTTTTTTGTCTTGCTTTGCAAACACCAGAGCCCTGGGACTGGGACTGGGAGAGGTGGACTTCGTTTTGTTTGTTGAAATCAAGAGCCACTGTGTGATTTCTCCCCATGGAGCACGTCACCTAACTAACTACAGGTTCATTCTTTGCTGCTCCCCAACTGTTTGTGCAGGCCATCCGGGTGTTCTTCATGCTCCGTTCCCTGTCACTGCAGCTGCGAGGGGAGCAGCAAAGAATGAACCTGTAGTTAGTTAGGTGACGTGCTCCATGGGGAGAAATCACACAGGGACGGGGCGGGGCAGGGGGCAGTGTCCGCTCCGCCCTGCCGGCTCAGACATAGCTGGGAGGGTCAATGTGCCACCAGCATTTGGGACTCTGGTTGATCCGTCACCAAGCACCAACAGAGCGTGCGTGTCCCACAAAACTCCAAGAAAGGGCCCTGCCTTCTGGGCGCCTGGAAGCCCGTCCGCGCAGCCCAGGTGGGGCTGTGCAGGTCGTCCGCCGAGGGGTCTGGGCGGGGTGATTGGGGTCTCTGGCTCCAGGATCCCTGCCCTCCATATGATCGTGGCACTGCCAGTTTGATTGGTTTTCTGTATGATGCCAATGATTAAAGATTCTGCTGCTAAAAAGGGGGGAGGGTGACTTTCAAAAGTGACTGTGGGTGACTTGATTAAAAGTGACAACGGGCGTCAGCCTGGTTGCGTTCCGATAACCCTTCTCGTACGTGTAGGGCTCTCTCTTTCCTCCCGTTTGCTATAGGGCACGTGCACAGGGATAGGCAAGGTGGCATTGTGATATGGTAGGATTCTTCGGTTAGAAGAGACGGAACACACGACTTAGGCCGGCTTCGGGAACAGAAAGGGGAGTTGGCTGACGTCACTGGGAAGTCCAGGAGTACATTGCCTTCAGGCATAGCTGCATCTAGGGACTTAAGCAGCGTCATCAGGAAGCTGCTGCCCTTTGTCTCCGCTGGGCTTCCCTTTGTTCTGGCTTCATCCTCAGGAGGGCTCTCATCAGATGGTGACAAGGTGGCCGTCTGCCGTTCCAAAGTCTACTGAACTGGCTAAGCAGCCCTTCCAGAAATAGGGCTGCTCTTTCCTGTGACTTGACGGAGGTCCGCAGCAGGGCTCTCATTGGTCTGGCTTGGGTCCGTTGACCATCCCTGAACCAATCTGTGGTCAGAGGAATGTGGTTCACTAATGGGCGAGGCCGGGGTCTCGTGGCTGGTCCTTGAGCTGGGAGGTGGGGCCCATTTCTTTTGAAAGAAAAGACTCAGACTCCACCTGAGAGTGAGGAGGGAGGTTGCCCTCAAAGAAAACTCAAAGACATGGAAGTTGAGCAGGCGGGACCCGCAGAGGGCCACCCTTTGTAGCATATGGTGAAGACAGGGTCCTGTTGTTTTAAGTCCGCTTTATTGAGATCAGTTTACGTCTGATAAAATTCACCAAGGTTTAGCGTACAGTTGAATGAGTTTTGACAGAAGCGTTCCGTTGTGACCCACGATCCTGTTGTAGACCCCTGAGGGTTGGCACTTGAGCCGAATACCCCTGCCCTGCCGTGTGTTCCCTTGAACCAACAATGGAAAACACCCCCCGCCCCGCTTCTATTTCCTCACCTGTAAAATGGCGATGAACTTCCTTATATTATGGGCCTGTGCTGAGAACCGAGCAAAATACCGTATGAAATATTATACGACTGAGCATTGTGTCCAGGGTATGACTGTGCTCAGGAAGCTGCAGTCCTCTGTATTACCTGCTAATTAAATAAGGTGACGCGTAGAAAGTGCAGAGCTTCCTGCGTGAATAGAGGATTCTCCGTAAGTGATTATGATGGGTTTTACCTGTTTGTCTTAACTTCTTCTTCTTGCCTTCTTCTTGTTCTCTCTTTGTCTTCTCTCTCTTAGAAAAAGAAGGGAGCGGTGTCCTGTATGGGCCGCTCTCTGCTCATCTCCTTTGGCCCCTTCCTCCTTGAGAGATGGCCACAGGGATTTCTTGAAGGGTTTAAATCGATTAAGCTGACTGGAGAGAAGATAAACCAGTCTTTCTCTGATTGGATTCAGGGAAGGAGGGAGACAGCTTGCTTTCATGGGCAGCCAGAATGTTCGCATCCGTGAAATGGAATTAAATTTTATGCTGGGAATTCAGGTTGCTTCCTTCCCTCTCCACCTAGGAATGGCCCGCTGAAAGAAAGGTTAAAAGTCTTTCACTTATCAATTTTAATTGACTAGATCGCTAGTTGAGATCACTTAACTGAACCTTTTTGGGTAGCTGGCCATTAAGAAAGTAATGGCTGTCTGTCTTTACCCAGCCCCATCACAAATTATGTCTTCACTAAAGGGCGCCATCCAGAAAGTACGAGGAATTGTGGGTTTTATGAGCACGTGATACTAGAATAAGGTGTGCACGTGTTATTGTTTGACTTTTCTTTCTTCTTTTTATTCTTCCTGGCGATTGTTCCTAAATGCTGGCTCTCCCCTTCCATTGGGGAAAAGTCAGCACGCTCTGCACATCACGAAATGCCTTCTATGTACATAAAATGTAGGCAACATCATAACCTAGACGAAGGCATGCATATTTGCCAAGCGATTGGAAACCGGGCATCCTCCTTGTGAGCGTAGTGATTTGAGGAGGCTGACTTCGGGGAGAAATGCTGGGGGCTGGTCAACTTTTCCCCGAAGGTGATGTGATACGGGCGGACCGGCGCAAAGGAATGCCGGCTCCAACCGACCGACAGATCGCAGGAGGAGGTGACTTAACCTGTGTTTCCTGACCTTGTCACACGTTGATAAGAAACCACAGCCCCATCGCATATCTCCAGACCAGTTGTGAGCCTCTGGGTCGGGTGTGGCAGGTGAGCTCTGACAGGCTGGCTCCTGAACAGGAGCCTCGTGGAGGCCTTCACCCCTGCCCCTCCGGAAAGAAGCCAGCTGCCCATGCTCGAGCCTGTTTTGGTTTTGTTTTTGCCGGAGAGGAGAGTGGCTTGGGGCAGAGGTCACAGACTGGCAGCGTGAAGGAAGGGAGGGCAGGCGGGCAGGAGGCAGGGAAGGGGGATGGGAAGGGAAGGCTGGCTTGACTACATAAAACAGATCAGACTTTTAGAGAGAATGGCCCCGTGAATCACCACCTGCCCCGCCTCCAGCTTCAAAGGTTATTACTCTCACGGCCCCTACCATTTCTCTTTTTATATACCCGCACCCTGCGTATCGAAGCAAACGGAAGACGTCGCATCATCGCATCTATACATACTGTCTCTAGCAGACAAGGACGGGGGGCTGCTCTTACTAACTGAATTGGTTGCCACCCTTGCAGATGGTGAGCTTGCCCGGCCCCGCTGCGGCTCCAGATGGAGCCCGGGCAGGAGGGAGGGCTGGCGGCACCGTGCCCACTCCGACAAGCCATCGGGCTGGTGGCATCGCTCGGGGCCTTAGGGTTCCTGAGGCTCAGAGGCCTTGCCTCTAAAGTGGTTCTAAAGACTTGCCGGGGAGCTGTTGAAAATCAGATGAGATCACGTTGGTGAAGCTCCCGGTGCCGTGCCGGGCCCACCGTAGGTGCTCGGTGAGGGGAGAGCTCGCCGTCGTCCCTGGTGCAGCTGCTGGAGAAGTGACGTAGGGCTCACGCTGCGGGGCTCTGCGGGGCGGGCATCTTCGGCTTTGACAACGATTTGGAGGAGCGTATCCTGACATGTTTAAACCAGTTCATCACTTGTATGATGGCCCCATTTTGGGGGTAAGAAAGGCCGCGCTGGCTGCCTGCGTCCAGGTGAAGGGAGCTGCACCAGGCAGGGCACTCCTGCGTGCTCCCTGATGGGCCTCCTGACCGACAGGCCCCTGGAGTGCCCTGAGGACAGCAGGCTGTGACCAGAAGTGGCACCAGGGCCTTCTAAAAGGAGTCTTGCCTGTTTCTAGAAAACATGGCCAATCACGGTAGGGAGAAATTCCCCCCTTGTCCATATATCCTAAGTAGATACCAGGCGTCCTCGTGAAACTCCTGGATTCCTTCCCAGCCTTTTCCACGTGGCCACTTGACGTTTACATAGTGTGGCCGTAGCATGTGCGTCCCACACCTAATCTTGTCCCCTGATTTTCTAGACCCAGTCCGCAGATCCATCCATTCATTCCACGATGTGTTGGGCGCCTGCTGTATGCCAGGCACAGTGATGGGAGCTGGGATGTGATGGTGAGCTGAGGCCAGCTTGCTCTCTGCTCTGGTGGTGCTTCCAGTTTGGAGTGGGGGTGGGGGGGCCACCAACAGGTAAGGAAGTAAGTACACAATCACAGGTTGTCGGAGATGGTCTGTGGAGGCAGTTGGACCGGCTCTGTGCTCGAGAATAAGTAGGAGAAGAGACCTCCTAGGCTGGTTAGAGAGGCCTGTCTGGTCAGGCACCGTGAAGGAGGGACCAGAAGATTGTGGGAAAAGGCAGAACCGAGGCCTGCCAGTTAGAGGGGATGGCAGAGGTGAAGCCGGAAGGGGAGAGGCGTGTCCGGCAGCTGGTGTGGCCAGCAGGGGAGAGAGGGGTTGAGATGAACCAGAACTCAGGCCCGAGGCAGCAGGAACCCATCTGAGCGTTTCCACAGGGACATCTGTCCTTAAAGTGTACTTCCAGGTCACTTGGTCCCAACAGAGCCCCAAGGGGCTGGAAAGGCCACGTGGGAGGTGGTTACGAACACGAGCTTGGGGACCAGGCTGTGTCTGGTGTGAAATCCCAGCTTTGCCCTTGTAACGAGCTAGCGTATGGCCTTCTACAAGCAAATTTCGTGTCTTAGTGCCTCAGTCTCCTCATCTGTGAAATGGGAGTCGGTGGGAGGAGTAAAGGAGTTAATGTGTGTGAAGTGCTTGGAGCAGTGCCTGGTGCGCTCGCCGGCCAGCCATTTGGAAGGCCCGGCGGGGTTCGGGGATCAACCAGCAGTGCGAAAAGGGGGATGGGAGCACGGACGGCATTTCGTGGCGATGCTGGAGATCCAGCTGGATTCTGGGCTCTGAGCTTGGCGACAGTGTGGGCAGCAAGGGGTGGGGGTGGGGGGACAGCGACTCCATAAGCAGGGGACCAGCCCTGGAGGAGGAGACGAAGCCTAGTTGGGTGGTCGCAGAAGAGGTGCTGAGCGGCGGCCCGGCCGTGATGCCCAGGGCGAGGGTCGGGCGTTGGCGGACACTGTCCTCAGGAGAGGTTCCCCACAACCGTCACGAACTTCGCAGTTACCGTGTCGAGCAGTAGAACGTTGGCCGAGGCGTCTCCTGGGACCGTTGCATACCTGGTGGCATTTCTCCTTGCCACACAGATGGCTGTTGCTCACAGGTGCCCACAGCAGTTAGAAACCTAGGTCACACAGTCTGTGCGAGGGGGTCCCAACCCTCCAAACACGGGTCTGCACACCAGCAGCTCTCTGTACTCTGGGTCTGCCTCCTCGCCCAGACTTGGACACACCTGTGTGTGGGCCTGGAAACAGGCCCGTGGAGGGTAGAGCAGTGGTTTCCTATGGTTCCTAGACCTGGGGACTGCCCTGCCCAGTACTATGCCAAAAGGATAAAACCCCAACAAACCCCTGGGGTTGGGATTGCCAACTTTTTATTTTACGAAGTCTTTTTTTTTTTTTAAAGCATTTATGAACTACCATTTCATAAAAGAAAGGAATCCCAGATAAGTAGGAAGGGCGTCATTTCAGAACAAGGGACAGACTTTCCAAGAACTATGCCTACGTGCTATGTTTTAATGGGGTCTATTCTTTTATTTACCTTTGAGAGACAGAAAGACAGAGTGCAAGTGGGGGAGGGGCAGAAAGAGAAGGAGACACAGAATCCGAGGCAGGCTCCAAGCTCTGAGGTGTCAGCACAGAGCCCGGCATGGGGCTTGAACCCACAAACCTTGAGATCGTGACCTGAGCCGAAGTCAGACGCTTAACCTACTGAGCTGCTCAGGTGCCCCAATGGGGTCTCTTCTTTAAGTAATTCAAGTGCAGGCCAATTACAAGAACCAAAGGTGTCTCTGTCTTTTTTGAGCTCCGTCTTGTGGGGGAGGTAAGGACGGACCACCTGGGCACACAGAGGAAAGTCAGATGGCCACTGTGTTAAGGTGCCCAGGGGTTGCCTGGAAGTCACAGAGGTTTTTGAGGGAGCGACCACCCATCTGATGGCTGGGTATGCATGCAGGTGCCTGGCAGGAGCAAAGGCCCTGGGGTTGAGGGGGAGTTCAGGAAGATGAGAAGCAGCGGTGTGGCTGGAGGGCAGGGCAGGGTGGTGAGAGGACTGCGTTTGCCTGGGGCCCGGTGTGTGGGCCTTGCAAGTCGATCAGGGATTCAGGCTTTCTTCTAAGAACAGTGAGAAGTGTTTTTCACCTGGTGATACGATCGCATTTGTATCTCAGAAGGCCCTCTCTGGCCTCAGTGTGAGGGTGGGTTTACGGGGAGAGGGGCGGCGTTCCAGCCAGGAGTCCTGGAGAGAGGCCAGGCCCATGAGACGGATCCTGCAGAAGCGTTGTCTGAAAGGTGGTGCCCACAGGCTTCTTACACAGCTCGGTTTGCCCCAGCAAGTGGTTCCTGAGCGCTCTTGCTTTCTGCTCTAGGGCCCAGGTACAGAGACTCTTGATTGCTGGGAGGCCCATCCTGTTTGATCCAGCCTGTGCTCTTGAACCTGACCCAGACCCGTCGTGCCTTCAGAGCTAATTATTAACTACAGGGATGTCATTTTGGTTGATCTCGTCTCCCGCCCGCCCGGCAAGGCAGGCTGCTGTGGGCCATCCTCCAGCGCTCCCGGCTGTTTCTAGGCCAGGACCTGCCTGTTTTGACAAGGGAGCTGAGGGTGTGGAGGAGGCCCTGGGTCCCAGAGCACTGCGGACTCGGGAGAGGACGGATCTGACATCTGGATCCCAGCTCTGCCTCTTCCTCGCTGTGTGACTGGAGACACATCGATCCACCTCTCTGAGCGTCGGTTCCTCATTTGTAAAATGAGAGTAGCAGTGCCCGCCTTTGCAGGGAAATAGCTGTGCAGACAGGTTGCAAACATCTGGCCCTCAGGCCCACGGATGTAGTTGGGTGTCTGGCAGAATATGTGTAATTTTATGTCAGTTGCCAACATTTTATTTACTTACTTACTTATTTACTTATTTATTTTTATTAATTTTTTTATTATTTCTTACAACATCATATGCTCTGTTTTATTGCATCTCATGTTGGGTAGAAGACAACACCTACCTCAATACCAATAACACGTTGCCAACATTTTAAAATCGAGGTATCTTACTGCACAAACCCAGATACCTCTCACTTTGAATGTGAAACGGTCTGGTCCCTTGGGGCCGAAATGCCCGCAGGCAGCAGCGGGCCGCCTCTTTGCAGGGGCATCCTTCACACCAGCTCGCGCTGTCTCCAGCCGCGGGCCTGTGCTGGACCCCAGCTGCCCACTCGGCACCTCCCGCCTGCCACCACAGCGGACTCGAGCTCCCGCACCGACCTGCCTCCTGCAGCCTGCCCGTCCCCCAGTTGGGGGCAGCTCCGTCCCGGTGCTCAGACCCCGGGCTCGTCCTGGATTCTTTCTCTCCAACCCGCCGTCCGGTCGGCCAGCACCCCTGTTCGGCCCCTCTGTCCAGCTGTATCCAGATCTGACCACCTCTCTCAGCTCCACCGCCGCGAGGGCCCTGCCATCTGTCACCTGCATTGTTGTAGTGGCCTCGTAACCAGTCATTTGCTTCTGCCTTGTTCCCTGTAGTTTATTCTCAATGTAGCGTCCAGCGT